AAAAAACTTCTCTTTTTGGAAAAAAAAGAAATGAAGATTGGAGCCTGTGTGGTAGCTTCAGCCTGTAATTCCAGCTACTCAGGAGACTGAGGTGGGAGGATCCCTTGATCCCAGGAGTTTGAAACCAGCCTGGGCAACACAGAAGACCCCTTCTCTATTTAAAGAGAGAGAGAGAGAGAGAGAGAGAGGGAGAGAAAGAAGAGAAGCTATGTGCAGTGGCTCATGCCTGTAATCCCAGCACTTTGGGAAGCTGAAGTGGAAGGATCACTTGAGGCTATGAGTTGGAGACCAGCCTGGGCAATATAGAGAGACCCCATCTCTACTAAAAATCCAGAAAATTAGCTGGGCCTGGTGGCGCACACCTGTAGTTCCAGCTACTAAAGAAGCTGAGCCCAGGAGGATCGCTTGAGCCCAGGAGATGGAAGCTGCACTGAGCTATGATTGCACCACTGCACTCCAGCCTGGGTGACTGAGTGAGACCCTGTCTTAAAAATAAAACAGAGAGTGCTTGTTTACATTATTATTGTTATTATTGTTGTGATTGAAATTGATGAATATAATCCTCTGCTAAGTACTTTCTAGGTATAATCTCTGCCCCCTCGAACTCTCCTGGAGGGGTAAGTACATTTATCTCCATTTCACAGATGTGGAAACCAAGACTCAGAGAGAGAGGTTAAGTCGCTCGAGACAAGTCACACAGCCAGAGCTGACAGAGCCAGAACTCACCAGGTGGAGTGGTCACCTCAGATGGTCAAACAGGTTGAGGAGGAGGATTTAAGGCAAGACAAGTGTCCATTATTTAAGAGAGCCTGACCATGAGCTGGTCTGATCCAACCTATTCTTCCCAAATAATCCCTGCAAACAGTGGTAGGATTCCGGAGGTCAAACGGAGGTTCAGTACATCTCAGATTTCTTCGTGCAAGCAGATCCGCTGGGGATTTTTGTTAAAATGTTAAAATGCAGACTCTGGGCCAGGTGCGGTGGCTCACGCCTGTAATGCCAGCACTTTGGGAGGCCGAGGCAGGCAGATCAGGAGGTCAGGAGATCAAGACCATCCTGGCTAACATAGTGAAACCCTGTCTCTACTAAAAAGACAAAAAATTAGCCAGGCGTGGTGGTGGGCGCCTATAGTCCCAGCTACTCAGGGGACTGAGGCAGGAGAATGGCGTGAACCCAGGAGGTGGAGCTTGCAGTGAGCCGAGATCGCACCACTACACTCCAGCCTGGGCAACAGAGCAAGGCTCCGTGTCAAAAAAAAAAAAAATGCAGACCCTGATTCAGTCATTTCAGGGTGGAGTCTGGAGTAAGGGGAGAGGTTCTGCATGTCTGACAAGCTCCCAGGTGGGCTCTGATGCTGCTGTTCCACCAGCCACACTTTGAGTGTCAAGGAGTTAGAAAACTGAAGCAGGATGGGTGCGGAGGCTCACACCTGTAATCCCAGCACTTTGGGAGGCCAAGAGGTGAGGATCCCTTAAACCCAGAAGTTTGAGACCAGCTTGGGGCAAAATGGTGAAACCCCGTCTCTACAAAAAATACAAAACTTAGGCCGGGCTCGGTGGCTCACGCTTGTAATCCTAGCACTTTGGGAAGCCAAGCTGGGCGGATCACCCAAGGTCAGGAGTTCGAGACCAGCCTGACCAACATGAAGAAACTCCGTCTCTGCTAAAAATACAAAATTAGCCGGGCGTGGTGGCGCATGCCTGTAATCCCAGCTACTCGGGAGGCTGAGGCAGGAGAATCGCTTGAACCCGGGAGGTGGAGGTTGTGGTAAGTCAAGATGGCACCATTGCACTCCAGCCTGGGCAACAAGAGCGAAACTCCATCTCAAAAAAATAATAATATAAAAATTAGCCAGGTGTGGTGGTGTATGCTAGGATCCCAGCTAATTAGGAGGCTGAGGTGAGAGGATAGCTTGAGCCCAGGAGGTGGAGGTTGCAGTGAGCCGAGATCAGACCACTGCACTCCAGCCTGGGTGACAAAGAGAGATCGTGTCTCAAAAAAAAAAAAAAAAAAGAAAGAAAACTGAAGCAAGGCCAGAGCAAGAAGGGATGAGAAACAAGAGATGAGATTTACTGGTTGGAGACAGGAGAGTGAGGTGGGGAAATGAGAAGGATTAGGGAGGAGGACTGCAGGGAGGGAAAGCCAGGTTTGAAGAGCACCCGCTGGGCCTGCAATCTCCCCAAATCCACACAGGAAGACCAAGGATCGCCACCGTGTGTGGAAGCTTCCGCTCTGTGTCAGGCACTATGCCAAGTGGTCACTGTGATTATTTCGTTTCTTCCCCAAAACAACCCATTAATGTCCCCACTAGACAGATCAAGAAACTGAGGCTTTAAGAAGAGGTGACTCTCCAAGGTCACCGAACTAGGATGTAGGGAGCTGGGCCCCAATCTAGGAGAAGACCAGGGATGGGCTTGGGACTCCACCACTGCCCAGCTATGTCACCTCCACAGAACTCCTGTCCCTCTGGGAGCCTCAGTCCCCTGTGCTAAAACACAGGGTTTATCACAGCACCCTCCTCTTGAGTCTGTTTCAAGGATTAGCTGACTGCCTTCAGGGTCTCCAACCCAGAGGTTCCCTTTCTACGTGTGAAGCCCAGAGACACACTTGCTCATGTGCACAAAAGACAGCAGGGGTGTAGGGCAGGGGACAAAGCACACAGCAGGGGACTGTTTAATACATGATGACGGTACAAGCCAGGCAGAACACCAGAGCAGGAACAATTCTGTTTGTTTGTTTGTTTGTTTGAGACAGTCTCACTCTGTCGCCCAGGCTGGAGTGCAGTGGTGTGATCTTGGCTCACTGCAACCTCTGCTTCCCAGTTCAAGTGATTCTCCCGCCTCAGCCTCTCAGGTAGCTGGGACTACAGGCACATGCCACCACGCCCGGCTAATTTTTCTATTTTTAGTAGAGATGGGGTTTCTCTACATTGGTCAGGGTGGTCTCGAACTCCCGACCTCAGGTAATCTGCCTGCCTTGGCCTCCCAAAGTGCTGGGATTACAGGCGTGAGCCACCGTACCTGGCCTGTGCTTCGTTTTTAATGAGCACAAGCTTATGCCTAACAACACAGAAGACCCCACTGCCGTTCCTGCGTTATTTTGCTCCCTGGCTCTTATCAGCCTCTGACATGCTATTTACTTTACATATTGATGTTGTTTTGTGTCCATCTTTCTTCCCCTTTAAAACATCAGCTTCTCCCAAAGGTGGGGACTGTTATCTTGGTCACTGCTATAACCCAGGATCTAGCACACAGTAGGCACTCAATAAATATTGGCTGAAATGAATAAGGGAAGGACAGATGGTGGTAAAAACAAAAAGGTTGGGAAGGATGTGCTTATTTATGAGACAAATAAATTCACAAAATATGGCGTGATTGGTGCCCGTGGAAAAGTATAAACATAGATTTGAAGGCTTCTCAGCAGTAGAAGTGAGATCAGGAAGAAAGCGACCACTTTCTTAATACTTTATCTACCATTCTTTTTTTTTTTGAGGTGGGGTCTCACTCTGTCACTGAAGCTGGAGTGCAGTGGCGCAATCATAGCTCACTGCAGCCTCCGCCTTCTGGGCTCAAGCAATCCTCCCACCTCAGCCTCCTGAGTAGCTGGGACCACAGGCATGCACCACCACACCTGCTAATTTTTTAACTTTCTGTAGAGATGAGGGTCTGACTATGCTGCCCAGGCTGGTCTCCAGCTCTGGGACTCAAGTGATCCTCCCACCTCGGCCTCTCAAAGTGCTGAGATTATAGGCGTGAGCTACGGTGCCTAGCTTTATCATTCTTTATAACAAAATGCATTCGTTCTATGAATATTATTAGTATAGGTAAAAATATAATTTATGTAAGGCAGCTGTCAGCTAAATCAAGAATGTGAAAAAAGTCAACAGGATACATGATTGGATTATTTCCACAAATAAATAGTGGTTTTTTTTAATGGAGAGGCAAAACTGTTAGAAATTAAAAGATTTAAGAGCCATTAAACCAAATGCATAGTGTGTGCTTTGCATATAAATTCAAATAAATCAACTATGAAAAGATATTTTGGGTCAGGCATGGTGGCTCCGGCCTATCTCAGCACTTTGGCCAGAAGGGAGGCTTGAAGCCAGGAATTCAATACCAGCCTGGCCAATATAGTGTCTCTACTGTTAAAAATAGAAAACAAAGCCAGACACGGTAGCTCATGCCTGTAATGCCAGCACTTTGGGAGGCCAAGGCGGGTGCATCACCTGAGGTCAGGAGTTCAAAACCAGCCTGGCCAACATGGTGAAACCCTATCTCTACTATAAATTAGCCAGGCATGGTGGTGGGCGCCTGAAATCCCAGCTACTCCAGAGGCTGAGGCGGAAGAATCGCTTGAACCCTGGAGGCGGAGGTTGCAGTGAGCCCAGATGGTGCCACTGTACTCCAGCTTGGGCAACAAAGTGAGACTCCATCTTGAAAAAACAAAAAA